ATATATATATCGATTTGAAATTTCATTTTAACAGCTCATGTATTGAAATAAAAGTTCAAATTAAGATTACAAGATAGCAAATTACATAATTTCAAGAATTTTTTCTTTGTCAGAATCTCTAGCGATTTATCTAGTTTCATCTAAATTATTTATTTCAACAAGTATAAATTTATCACATTTCTATGAAGAATGAAGAGTTTTAGAATACATTTTGAATCACAATTTGAAAACAGGAACTCGAGTCGAATAAATTCTCTTTTAAAAAAACATAGAGTTTTTAACTTTTTGGACAGTTAGGTTGTTCTCGGAGGACAGTTTTAGTAGTTTTGTGTCCTTTTTTGTCGACGCACCAACAGAATCCAGTTGCTTCATTGCACTGAACTTGTTTGTAATGACCTTTTTCATCACAATCTGGAATGAAGTTGCCAATTAATCCTGAAAAGATCAAATTGCATTAATTAGTAAACTAAAATTGAGGACAGAAACAGTATTTTGTAGCATCTAATTTGAAAACAAATTTGGAAGTCCTTAAAGTTTTAAGTTTTCATGATTCTTTTAAATTTGATTTCTCTGAATCACTTCATGTGTAAGCAATAGGATAGCTCGATCTACTTTTGTGATTTTAATTTTTATGTTAGAAAAATAAATACATTTTGTTTCAACGATTTCAATCTAAAGACCTAACTGTTTGATTTTTTGATTTTTATTAAACCACTCTAAAAAACTTTTTTCGAACTTTTGAATCATAGCTCAGCCCGTCGTTTCAATTAATTGATGAAAAAAAACAAATTTATTGAAGTCGAATAGTTGGAACAATAAAAAAAGAAGAAATAAATATGTTTAAAATGACTTTATTTTTCTAAGCTCCGTTTGTTTGTTTTAATAAAAATTGATTATTATAAATTATTAAATTTTGAGAAAAGAGAAAAAACGGTACTGTTAGAGCTATTTTATATTTCTAAAATACAATACGAATGTGGCTGTTTTCTATTACTATTTGATTCGTACCACGGGAAAAAATAACTAAGAAAATTTATAGTAAAATAAAATCATTGCTTTTTATTTCACCATATAGGTTGATCCAAAAATGCGTGGAAAAAATTTAAAGGTGTTGGAGATGACGAATTTAGAAGAACTCAGAGTAAATGATTTCAGCTGGTAAGAGCAGGAGGGAGAGTTAGAATGTGATGCAGAAACCACGAATACATGATATCAACGTGGCAACAATGTAATGCATGTATTATTCTGGTTGTGGTTCCTTATTGGTTTTCATGGTAAGGACTGAGCCGTATGGTCCAATCACACTGATCAGTGGATTGAAAATGATTCTATTCAGGTACTTGGAGGCAACTTGCAGTCAATCGTGGATTTCATGTACTTAAACAACAATGGGATTTTAATGGATAACGATGCGCCATGACACAGCAGCATTACTTTTTCACGACAGGTTTGAAGACCATTCAGGGCAGATCCAGCGAATGATTTGACAACAAAGATCTAACAACATGAATCTCATCGAATTTTTACGGGATATAATCGAAAGGTCAGTTCTTGAACTTTCGAGACCTTGGAGATCTAGTTAGGTTGCATGGTTGAATATTCTTGCAAGAGACTTCTAACTACTTGTTGATTTTATACTAAGTCGAGTTGCAGCACTTTGAGGAGCTAAAGGAGGTCCGCCATGATATTACGAAATATCCAATGACTTTTGTCACCTCAGTGTAGTTCCCGTGCTTATGGAAGGATTGTGCTCAATCTTACGTCAGACTTCTACCGGCACTGTCCTCACCGGGTTTGAACCTTATGTGTGTTGGTAATGATAGCTGAATCTATCTGTGAGGTGCAATCACCTAAAGTTTGACGTTTAGGTATTTCTTTGTTGGAAAATCGTTTCCTGTACAACCTTTACGTTGCTTTCCCACTTTCATTCGCAACTCCATACATCTGTATGCTCTTCAGCGGTGAATGCTGTATAAAATCATAAGAAGAGCTTCCGGCATACTTTTACTGCCCTACACAGAGCCCACCCACTCCTTTCACATGGCGTTTCTGGGCTGGCATTGTACGACGCATTCTTTTATATTCGCCCTCTGTTAGACTCTCCTTTCATTAATCTGTATTTGTAAACCACTGAAATTAATCTCAGAATTTTTTTTATATTCGTCCCCTATTAGACAGTCTTTTTTGAACAATCTGTATATTTGTAAACCACTGAAATTAATCTTGGAATTTTTTATATTCGTTCCCTCTTAGACGGACTTTTTTATTAACCTGTATATTTGTAAGCCACTGAAATTAATCTTAGAATTTTTTTATATTCATCACCTCTTAGACAGTATTTTTTGATTAATCTGTCTATTTGTAAACCTCTAAAATTATTGTTAGAATTTTAAAAAAAAAACTAAAGTCTACACGTATCGTTCGCATGAGGGTTTTCAAGTACGTTATTTTTATAATTGTAAAATAAAGCATTTTTAGGAAACTGTTTAAATGGTAAGTATATGCATAACATGGTAAATATAAAAAACTATGTACGTACCCTTTTCCCTCCTTTTCATTTGTTTTTTTCGATGTTTGTCGCATTTTTTGTGGCCAAATACAACAGAAATGAGGCATAAGAACAAAAACAAAATAATGATGAACTTCATATTTATTTTCCTCTGAAAAAATAAGATTAATTTTATTGTTGAGAAATTACGATTATAGGAACCATATTTTGATAGAAGAAGAAAACTTCAAAGCACGAAATGCAGGTGTGGAACAAAATAATGGAAACACTTCTATACTAACACATTTTTTCATATTTCTCAAGAAATACTGGGAGGATTATTCTAAAACATTCGAAGAGTCTGTAGCGTAACTACCACTACAAATATTAAATACCAAATCACTAGGATATAAGACATGTTAACTTGAATCCATCTCGAGGTACCTTTTGATAGATGAAGGTTGACATTGTCGATAATTAGTTCCCCTCAGAGATGACCTGTGAACGTGATATGAACATCCCACATTAAACAGTTGATTTGCTTAAAAATATACTGCTCAAAGAAAAAAAATATATCCGGTGAAGTAAATAAAGTCTCCCGATAATAAACAATATTGAAAGAAAGAATGAGCGAAATGCTATACACAAAAAAATAAAAAAAGATGAAAATATAAAGAGCAAAAATTGATATAAATAAAAAAACAGCTTGAATCAACTAGTGGAATGTGTTCATCGAATTCTATCACAGATAAAATTCTGGAAGGGGAGTAATATGGCGTAACTACCACTACAAATATTAAATACCAAATCACTAGTATATAATACACGTTAACTTAAATCATCGAGGTACCTTTTGATCGATGAAGGTTGACATAGTCTAAGATTAATTTTCTTCTTGTCTAAGTCATGCGATTTATCATACATAAAAATAAAATTTAAAGATTTTAGAGCTCTGAAGGACCAGCACTAAATTACGAACGAAAAAGAATATTTTTTGAACACCCTATGCCAAACAGCATAACGATAAAATTGTAATTTATTAATTATGTAGGTTATTATATACAACAACTACTTTAAACTATTTAATTTTAAACTTTTTAATTGTTTTAAACAATCTTTTATTTAATCTTATCACTTTTTAACATTTTATACTTGCCCATTTTATCACCAATTTTGATTTTATTGATCTTATTCCATGAACCATCATCATTTTATCATCTTGACCTTTCTCAAATACTGCCGGCTCTGGCTCACATCCCAGTGGAAATTTTTTCAATTCTACAGTAGTATCTTCAGAGCTCACTGGTTTTAAAGTACTATTTTATGGTATCTCTATTCTAGCTTCCGTATATTATATACTTGTTATAAAATTTTCCTTTTGTATTTTAAAATTTATATAAGGGTCCTTCGATCCAACTATTTTATCTGTACAAGAAAACTTATTTGTATACAAATTTCCAATGTGCCTGTTGCCATTGTTTTGAAAGTAAATTTTTGGTTTTAAATAAATGCCACAGGGCCACTCCCCCTGTGCGTATGCCGGTTCTGAACTGCCCCTCCTCTCCTGAGGGGGAGGGCTGTCGCGGTGTCGAGCTGTTTCTTCGAGCATACCTACCATATTTGNTTTGGGGGGGGGGGGGATGGATATTAAAATCCTTAACCTATACAATAACTGCACCAAATTTTCTCAAGCCTAGCTTAATTATTCACAAAGATATAGGCATTTTTATTTAAAACCCATTTTTTGGGCATACGCTTTCTTACTATAAATGCTAATTTATTGCTGATGTCTGAAACCTCTAACAGCTTTTAACTTTATTGATATGTTTGAGAAATCACATGACCTAAGCGTTTCCAAATTTTTCTAATAATTATTCTAGTATTTCTTTATAAATGTGAAAAATGATTTAATATAAAGTGCTTCCTTTATTTTTTTGCAACCCCTGTAATTCATGAATTTTTAGTCGGTATCCTAAATGCAAATCAATAATTATTGACATTAAATAAAAGCGATTTTTCAAAATTCACAAACAATCCATATAAATGATCAGTTTCTTTAAATGTCAAAGAAGGATAATTTATTCTTTATTGGTAATTGTTTGCCAGATACGCCATCTACAGGTCAAGATGAGTGGCCACAAAGAATAGCGGCCACAAGATGAGTGGCTATTAATTTTCAGGAATGGTCTAATAGCTCCTGAAAATATTATGCGAATCACGGACTGTTTAATGCGTAACGAAGCTAATTTCTATTGATTCTATCGATTTACTCAACTGTATTCAAAATCATCATTCTAAATTCTCTTCGATTCCGATCTTATAAATGTCTTTGATATGCTTAACCTTTTCGTGGTTCATTTATTTTTCTTTTGAATTTCTTTCACAGCGTTTTATGCATTATTAACAACTCAAACTAACATTTAAGGAGCTAAACAAATATAGCATTTAAGGAAACATTGATCATTTAGCCGAATTATATGTTTTTGTACAATTTTTATGTTTTAAGCACTTTTACATTCCACCGATTATTTATTTTTAATATTACACATAAGGATAGTGTTTTCAGTGGAAATGAAAACAATAACAATCTCGAGCTGTATGCCTACTCTAGTTCCGGTTAGAAAGTTTGCAGCTGCTTACTACTTGTTATTCTGCGAGGCGATATTTTCAAGCGGATAATTTTGTTTTCAATAAAAGAAATAAATTAGATAATTTCTGAGCTCAAATGTGCCGTATTTCATAAGATATTAATGTTTTTATGTAATTCTGGTGAGTTTGAAGTGAAAATTTGTTTTAGTTATTTAGAGATATATTGTTAAAAAAGGTGACATGGTTGCTAGATTTTGAGAAGTTTATTACTGTTTGTTCTTGTTGCAAGCTGTGCACCATCTTACGTTAGTGTTAACACTTTTAGCATTGTAAACACAAGTATTTTAGCATTGTAAACACAAGTAATAAGTAATAAAATACATTGTTTGCAAGAATCTCAAAACACAATGATGCCAAATGGCTTTAAAATTCAACGGAAACAGTAACCCGGAAATTTAGGCGGTACCAAGCTTGCAACGTTCCCTAGTGTAGAAAACACCATCCATAGTTACTGGCATAAAATGTAATATACATATATGTGCGCAAAATAAAGAAGTATTATTACAATAAAAACACATGAAATAAGAAAGTGTTATTACAATAAAAACACATAAAATAAGAAAGTGTTATTACAATAAAAACAATGATTTACTCACTTTTGCAGTAGAAGCGTTGATCAATACAAATGTTACATCAAAACAGGCGTCTTGGAATAAATTTCACGGAAGTTGGAAAACTTTCAAAACAAATGTGCTAATTCTGTTCAATCAATTGCACAATAGATGGCAGCACAAAACTGAAGTGAGAATTATTGTTCCAATCGTTATAATAGATCTGTAAACTACAACGGGTTTTGCGCTTCCCACAGGTGGACTTTCTAAAATCCTGTAGTTGGGAAGTATTCTTCCCAAGGTTTATCTTTCGAATTTTAAATCTTGTTAGTTTTAAACCTAGCAAAACATTCAATATCAAAAACACTAAAATCGTTTGTATCGTTTATCAACTCGGAAATGAATCAAAAAAGTCTGAAATGTAAGTTTTACTTTGATAAGCTGGATGTACTTAGTTTTGAGAAGTAGTTCATTTGAATTTGTAGTGCATTCACGGAAAAGATGGACCGAAAGTAGAATAGGCTTCCAGAATTTTGATCAGGTTCGTCACTTTTGGGTATTTTTTCTACACTTTTTTCTTTTACAGAATTAAGTTAAAAATAAAAAATCGAGGAGTTAGTCAGTTTATTATAAATGATGCCTTTTTAGAGGACTAAAGGTTGAACTGTTTTTGTTCTCGCAGAACGAATACGTTGGTATCGTTGTAGCAATGTACAAATCACTATAAAAAGGTAACAAATATTTGCTGTTTGATTAGCGTCACAATCAAACGCGTGCTTGACACGGCCATGTGACGTTTTTTTTAATTATATATCAAGAAAATTCGTTTTATGTTTTGTTCTGTTTTTCTTTACATTTTATTGTCTGTTTTTACGTGATATTTATTACTTAATGCGTTCTATTCTATTTTGTTTCAAATTTTTTTTGAGTGCTCGTTAAACTACTGTATTGATATATTTTGCTTTGGCTTCATTGATACAACATTTTCTAGATTTTCATAAATATTTTTTTCGGATTTTTCTTAATTATTTCATTTTTTTATTTTCAATTATTTTTTCTTCTCTTTCTTCATTATTCTGTAATTTTTCCCATGTTTTCTCTGCATTTTTAACTTAGATATTGATACAATGTCGTATATCTTCTTGTCGTATCATATTTGAATAATTTTTTTACGGTTTAAAATTATTTAAATTTGTACTGCTATCTGGAATGAAGCATATTCTAGCCAGTCAGAAAGTGTTCCTAATTTTAACAGCAAGATTTCATTGTTAGAGACTCAAAATCTAACGATTAAAAACGTTATAAAAATCCTCTGTAGCATGTCGGTACCTGTAGTGTATTATTTAAGGACTGGTTGGGTTGAATGCGATAAAAAGCCCTGAATGCAACAGTACTTTTTATCGTGATCTATTTTATTCTTTTTGAGACAGTGCATTATCTTTGCTTAGGTTACAGATAATAATTCAATTTAAATTTGTTTCATAGTGAAAACGAAAAATTTTGGCTATTTTCGGTGTTCTATAATTATATACCTATATTTGACTATTTTATATAATTATATCCCTTCTATTAATTATGATCTAAATTTAAGTTTGAGACGTGTTTGTTGCAAAAAGTAATAGGTATTTCTAATTATTAAGCTGCTTATAACTGATACTGAAAAAAATTGTGCTTGATCTCCAGCGATTAGTACATTGCAATTTATTAACCACGTGACATATGCACATACATTCGCAAAGTACTAACCACTCTAAATCATTTTGTATCGGTAAAGGGATTTATTTCGCTATTTCCGATAAAAGTTATCCAGAAAACTTTTTATATACTTTGTAAATAGAAACCAAAAGATGCAGACAATAAGACGTAAATTTTTTTTCTTTAAAATACTATTATTCAGCTTTGTCTGATTCTGGGTAAAATAACTAAAGAAGTAGAAAATTGGAAAAGTAAGTAATTAAAGATAAATTGTGAAAGTTACTGGAGGAGGAGAGCAAAATGCGAATTATCCAATTTGTAGAAATCTTGCACAGAGGAAAAAGAAATGGTGAAAATTACTAGAATATGGTAAAATTTACTGAGTTAGTGTCACCAAAAAGTTAGGTGATTTTTATTGGAGCGCTTTGGTAATTGCGCTCGGTTAAATTAGCAATTACTTAAGGTTTTTTAATGACCATGGTGTTTCGTATAATTAAGGTAAAATTTGTCAATTTTAATATGATACTCCAAAGAAGTTACACTGTCAGATCAGAAGTTACACTGTCAGCCCCCGGAGAAGTTTTCGGATAAGAGTTTGACCCGTTGCCGCGTGAGAAGCAAGCACTAGAAAATTACAGTAAAGTAAAATTAAAACTAATAAAGATTGATACACATTAGAAAATATCACAATATCGATTGTTTGTAAATTTAAAACGATAAATCAAGTTTTTAATCCAAGTGGGAAAGTAAAAAATACGAAGTGGATAAATGAAAGCAAAATGTATCTGTGCAAGAACAGATAGTTCAGCATCCCCAATGAGATTTATAAAATTAAAAATCAATCATAATAATTCCAAAAGGGAATTACAGTTAAAGCTAAAATAAAATTTCGGAGAACGACATCAAGGTGTATGGCTATCACAAAAGAGGTCACCAATGACCAAAAGTTTTCCACGGAAGGGAAAAGACCCCGGAACCAGTCCAACTGCCTTGCTTAAAATAAAAGATCAAAGAGATATTGAAGAGAACCAGAATTCTTAAAAACAAGTCAAATCGCTTAAAACATCTAAAAGCGTAAAATTAACCAAAAATAAAAGGGTCAAAAATGTAGTTAAAAAACGTATAAAGAGTCAGGTAAAACATCAATTGGTAAAAACAGGAAAAATCCCATCAAAAACATATAAGATCTAAAATAAGATTCATGAAATAATTAAAATAGGCGACTAAAAGTTCAAAAATTCTAGTATCCCCTTTTCAAATCAATGTGCCTCTTGGATGAAAAATGTTCTAAGGTATTTCAAAGTTTCTTTTAAAAGGCTAAAAATTCGGAAAGGACACCAGGTAAGACTGAAGATGCTGAAGTTCACTAAGGTCCAAAACTTCGGTTCGTATGTCCAACGTATGATGAGGATTTTGGTCCAAGAAGAGGATAAAGTCCCCAGAGCTCGGTAAAAACAAGGTAAAGTATTGGAAAGCAAATATTAAAATCAGGAAATCTAAAAGCCAAAAGTTTAAAACTAGATAAAATTAGTCAAGTGTACTCTAGGGGTCAAGCAGATCTTCTAAGGTATATATAAGAACTTCAATGATTTTTTTTCCTTTTTCTCCTAAAGCATGGCAGTAAACCAATTATACGGTTTAAAAAAATTCAGTTTTGTTTTTATATAATTTTAAGAACTATCAATTTGAAAATCAAAATTTCTGGTAAACCGATATCATACGAACGGATAAAATACCTAATGAATCTTTAATTATTGCATATTTTGGTTTTATTATAGAATTAGTTTTTTTTTATCAGACTAGGAAGCTGAGCCTCTGATTTTTCGTCTCGCCAACTATCGTAATTAATTTTTAAACGCTTTGTCTTTAAACGTCAATATTTTTTATAAAAAGGAAAAATATTTTGCTTTCAAATTATACAAATATTGAAACTTCATTTGTCAGGTGTGCTCATTTGTGAAATTCATTGCGTTAGTGGTAACGAAATAGGCGATTACCTGGAATAATCATATGAACTTGGAAAAAAAAAGCTTAACCTAAAGAATTCACATACGAATAATACGTACAAATACATACGAATAATACGTAAAAATACGTACAAATAAACAAGTTATTTTGCTCGTTGACGTCATTTGAATCGTTATAATAGCAATTCCAATAGAAAAAGGTTTTTATCGCTTCTTATTAAGGTTCTTTTTTTATTTTGAAAACTTTATACACTATAAATGTTAAGATTTATATCCAGCATCATGTAATCTCTCTCAAATTTCTTGTTTTGTTTAACATCTGCTCGAGTGTGAGTTTATAAGTCTTCTCTAAGAATGAAAAAATTAGTTTATATCTAAATAAATTAAAGCTGAAAAAGTTCACGAAAAATCACATAAATTGGCAATAACTTTCGAAAATTTTGAAATTTTTTTTAAAATAAAAATTTGAAATAAAGGACCCTTTTTCCCAGAAAAATTCACAGTTAATTAATTTTTTTAAAGTAATATATAAATAATATAAAATAATATTTTTTTTTTATTTCGCAGTACTTTCTGTACAGTTTTTAACACACCTTTGTAATTTGACGTTTCTAAGTAATGCAGTTTCTTCACAGCAAAGCAAAATATAATGTTAAGTTGAACTTCCAAAGCAGCTGCTGCCGATGTGATTTTTTAATATAGAACAGATAAACGCACCGTTACGATAAATACGGTAATAACTGTTTATCAATAGTGTAAAAATGCAGAACAAACGAAGAATAAATAAAAAGAGAACTTTTCTTTTCCTCCCCAACCCCAGTAGTGGTTGGGAGGACAGGAGGGTGCAAACCCCTTTCAAGAACTTCTGCTGCCATACTTTTAAATGTTGTTTTTTCCTTTATACACGGGGACCGCACCAAACCTTTGGGGATTGGCTTACTTTATGTCTATGGAAGCTAGCATTCTTCCCTTATTTATATTTTTCAGTAGAACGTTTGGCTCGTGTTTATTAAAATGCGAGTTGGTATGCCACCGTACGAAGAATCCCTATGTATGAAATGGTGACTGGTGCACTTTAAATCTATCGGGGTCACAAGGTCCTCTAAGTTCCCATAATAAATTCATTCATCTGGGATTCTCTGGTTCAGATTAAGATGTGTGGATGAATGAATTGACTATAATTATGTCATCCCTGTAAAACGGGCTATGACGAGTGTGGGACTGACGTCATATTCTTAGAAACAGATGGCACCACTGAACAAGTAATACACTCTCGGCCTTAAAATTTAGCTGAATTTCAAGCAGGCTTGCTGGTATTGTCAAGTCGCATAAATAACAACGACAAATTTACCAGAATTTCTTTACCAGTATGAGAATACCGTAGTGATTTTTATACTTTGATTTATTACATTGAATTGATTTTTGGTAACTTATTTGCCTTTTAAAATATAAATTTTTAAGAACGGAGACGTAAACTTCAGAACTTATATTATCTATACACGAATATAAATTTTGGGGAGTGCTGAACCATAATATCATGCAACTTCGTTGCAATCTTAATCTGGCTTTGGTTCGACAGTATTAACGTACAGCTTAAACTTGATTATATTTTACTACGGTTCGTATTACTCCCCCTTTCTCTAAACTACTAGTGTCTGAGGTTCACTCCCTGAAGTTAGCTGGGGTAAATTCAGCGTGGAAGGACCCACCAGATCATGATTGGCATGTCCCGGATTATTCCTGCAGTGCACTTGTCCTAGATTTGCTCAAACAGCTTTGTCAAGACTTAGGACCGGCCATATAAAGTGTTTGACCTTCAGAGCGAAGGAAAAGACTTATGCCTATTGTCATTGCTCAGCCATCGCTTCTCCATCTCATCTTTTGGATTGCATTGGTGCCTCTGTGAGGCAACTGATGAGTGATGGAGAGACTGTCTATGACTTGCTGATGCGACATGATCTTCTGGACTTAGTCTAGGGCTCTAGACCAAGGGGATAAGTAACAACAGCAACAACATGGTTCGTATTGAGCGAAATCATGGTTGAATTTAAGATCCCATAAAA